TCTGCAACAGCAAGGATTGGGCCCCTCACCACTTCTGCTTTAAAGCAGGCTCCTGGAGCCAGCAGGGTGCCTGGCGCTGCTCAGGAAGGGACTGGCTTACCCCACAGGCAGCACAAGGTGTCGGAGAGGGGCTGGGAGGGAGGCTAGGGATTTCAGGAAGAGCCAGCCTCCTCCCCACCACCCCTGCCCAATACTCCCTGCTGGCCCTGGGGTGAGCTACTTGCTTCCTGGGCAGTGCCAGGCATCCTGCTGGCTGCAGGAGCCTACTGAAGGCAGAAGTGGTGAGGGGCCCAGTGCTGCTTTTGGCAGAACCTCCTCGCCTGCCTGAGGCCTGGGGAATGAAGCTGCCTCTGGGCCAGGCAGCCCCTGACTGGTGGGGGGCTGGTACTTCTCTCTGTGGCAGTGGCACCCCCTCCGGGGCTGGTTGGGTGGGATGTCAGTGGGCCATGTGCTGCCTAATCCATCTTCCCAGGAGCCTGCCAGCACACTGCTTCTCTCACAAGCCTGCCCAGGCTTCCAGCACCTTGCACACCAAGGCGGGGTCAACTTATACAATGGATCTACAACAATCCTAACTTTCTGGTACAGAAATTTGTGGTTGACTTATACACTGTCAACCTATACACTGTAAAATATGGTAGCTGTTCCTCTGTTTAAAACGATCTTAGGTAATGTCTTTCTCTAGTCCTATATTTGTTTGATTTTTAAATATCATAAAACTAAGGAAAAGAATGCTATTCTTTTATAGGATACGTTATGCATGATAAAAAGTATTGCCCAGCTCTGTCTCTTTCAGTGAAACATAGTATTAATTAGGTTGAAAATGGAAATTAGTAAAATATTATTTTTGTTCAAATTATATACAACTTCATATGGAGGAACTCAAAAATGGAAACTCTGACTATATTATTTGCTGTATAAAATATTTCAACTGAATTTGGCTCACGTATTGTCTCTAATTAATTATAATGTTTGGATCTAATTTCTTCTTACTTTAACAGTTTTAATGTGGTTATAACTCTTCTGACTTACTCTATTTTAACTAAGCAGTACCACAGAGGGGAAAAAATGGCTCTGTTAGAACTGTTCTAAATCGTAATTACTCTTTGAGTTTTTAATGAGCAAAGTGAAGATGCAATAGGTTTAACTTTTGATGATGAAATAAATGCCATCCCAAAGCCAAACAAGGAGAGAAGAGAACTTATCATTTCATGTGATATGTAAATAATGATGCTTGACGTGAACATTATCTCCTCACATCACTCAGAAGAACTGTCAGAGATCGGACCTACGTGCCATGTTAGTGACTGAAATGACAAAAAGAGCTGCCTCTCCATTCAAAATAAGCCTTGCCATCTTCATCCCCCAGCACCCTGTGTTGTAAAAGAACACATGCTCAGTTCATTAGGAGAATGGATGTTCAGGGCTACCCTCAGGAGAAGACTCTAACCATGGATTCCAAGTGGACTGAGGGATCTACCTTCAGCCCTGATTTAGGCATCAAAGTTTCAGAGGGATGTGAGATTTCAGGTGGATCCCTATTCTCCACACTTGCTATTGCCTCACTCTAGAAGGCTCCCTGCTCAGCATGCTGGTGTTTCATGTGGGTGTTTTGAATTACTAGTCTGAAGAGCCAAACTGTTCCCAGGTATTGCATAGGGAGCCTCGATGTCTAACAGTGCTTTGGATCCTACTACATTGGCCAACCCTCTAAGTTCTTTGTTGAACCTAGCCCTAAGTTACTCCTGTCTAGAAGGAAGAGCAGGAACATTTAGCAGAAACTCCTACCTTAATTACACAGTAAAAGTTACACTTCTCCCATGTCTCCTCAGGTGTGCCTGTTCTCTTCCTACACTCAAGCCCTTTTACCCAGAGTTCTTGAGAAATTGAGGCCAGATGAAAAGGCTGTTGTGCAGCCATTGAGCTTTGAACACAGGGGACCAATGAGGTGTCAAGTGGGAAATTATCATAACTGCTCCCCTACTAAAGGTGAAATGAGAGGGACCCACAGAATGCAATCATGGCAGTATCTCTGTTATTGATACACCTGCATAAAACAATGACAGGACTTAATTGCCCCATTCAGTTGCACCAGCCTAAATGTACCCACACCCACAAAGGAACTGAATGAGTCAGAGAAACAGGTGGTGGCTTGCCACAAGGCTTAGCTTGGTGTTCCCCCTCTCTTCCCAGGAATGAATTCTGGAAGCATTTTCAGCCCTGTCCTCTTGCTTACTAGCCTGGTTATGGGAGATAGCATAGCATAGCTCTGGGCTTCTCAAATACCAATGCATGGTAATGCAAATTCCAAATGCCAGTACATGTTCCCTTCCACTGGTTGGGTCCCTAAGGCTAGGAGGAAGGCAACTTTGCCAGGAATGAGGCAGGCAGTGATGGCAAGCTCATGCAGACTGGAGTGTAAACCTCTTGTTAGTAGGGGTGGCTGAGATGTTGCAGACCAGGGACAGCTAGAGGACTTGGGCTGTTCACCATCCAGGTCTGTCTCCATGTCCTTTGCACTGTCCTGGAGAGGCTGGAGTTACCTCCAGGGTCATCTCCTGGGTCATCCTGAGAGTGTGCATTTCATAATAGCACGTTGTCCCACATAATTTGACAGGACTTGCAGTGGCACAGGGGACACCTGTAGACTCCCAGTTTGCCTGTGGTCAAAGTGCTTTCTCCTGCAAGAAGCACAATGGGTTATGGCCTTGGGTGTGTAGCTTGCGTGGCAGATAGATGAGGTTAATTATGCTCATAATAATATTAAGTTATGCTACATTTATAAATGAATAATGCTGAAAGGAATCACACTTCTGAGATTTCCTTTCTTGTCAGAACATGCACATCTATAGAAGACCCATTAGTGGATCCATGGTATCATAAATATTCTACCATATAGCCTCATTTTCCTCCTGGTTTGACCTCAGACCTCTTCCCATGTGAATTAACTGCTTTCTTTTATGCTGCGTAACTCAGGAGACCATACAACCACAAGCAAGCTGGAGATCTGTTGGCTGGATAGAATTGCAGCAAGATGGAAACCTAAATAGCTGAATAAGTGTAAGCAGAGAGTGACTACATATGGATCAATGTCAGACTGACAGGAAGTCTGGGTCTGGTGTTGTTTAACTATTTTATTAATGAGCTGGATGTGGGGATGGAGAGATGGAACTAGGAGGTGCAACAAGTTCTGTTCCTTGCATCTTGTTTGTTGGCTGAGATCTTAATGAGTCATCAGCACAAATGTTCAAACGGATTCCTGCAAAGCAATGTTGAGATGCAGGGGATTTTGGAGTGAGTACAAGAGCTCTCTTCTGACTGTTAATCTAGTTTGATAATCCCTGAACTATCTTGATAACCCCTGAAAGATCTAGGGTTAGTGTTCTGCTCAGAGTGCAACTTTCCATCTCTCTCTCAGCTTACCTTTGGCAGAATGGGCCCTAGACTCTAGAAGATATGCAAGTCAGTTATTTCTTTTGTCCCAAGTTTGACTAATCTGGAACACTCAAAACAGCATCTTAGCCAAAACTTCTGAAAGCCAGGCTTGTTCCCTCCTAGGCTCCCCTAAAAATCGTCTCCAAGCCAAACACATCCACTGACTTTTAACGATTGGCATTTTAGGGACACAAATAATTGAACGCATGTCTATTTCTTCTTCTTGATCTCTCCATCTGTGCTACAGGATGGAAATTTCCAGGACCATAAGAGCTAAATCCAGACACCCTCAGATGCAGTAGCTTCCTGGGCAACAGCAATTACTGAGATCTATTCTGGGAATGACAACGTAAAGGGAATGTGTTGCCACCTGGTGCCTGTGTGCTCTTGAGGGATGCTGGCTGTTGTTTCTGTGGGATAAGGTGGTGTTTTTCTTTTCCAAAATTCCACTAAAGGGCTTGGGGGAGACAGGACACTTCCACGATCCCTGTGTGCCATCAGGAGCAGTGAAAGGGACCTGCTTGCTGCTCCCTATGGACATTTCTACCAGGCTGAGGCAACCCCTGCAAAAGCAGGCTGCCCTAGGGGGCACCATCCACCGCCAATGATGCTGCCCTACCCTTTCCTTTATCCCTGCCCTGAGGCCCCTGCCAGCTGCCTGCTCCTGTCCCAGGGATCATCTTGGGGGTGGCCCTACCTTGAGCAGGGGGCCAGAGGGGACTGCAAAGGATCATTTAATCCAGCTCCCTGCTGAAGGCTGGATCCCTGCGAGGTCCCTGCCAGCCCCAGGAGCCTGGTGAAGTTCAGAGAGGCCCGGCAGCCTGGAGGGGGCCACCTCAGTAACTATAGCCACCTCTCTGCTGCTGCTCTTCCATTTACCCAGCCCTGGGTGAGAGAGAGAGAGAGGGCGAGCAGAGGGGAGAGTCCCCGTGTGTGGAGGGGTTTAGGGGTGTGCGCGTGTGAGACAGAGAGCAGAGGGGGAGTCCCAGTGTGTGTGTGTGTGTGTGTGTGTGTGTGTGTGTGTGTGTGTGAGTGTGTGTGTGAGAGAGAGAGAGAGAGAGAGAGAGAGAGTGGAGTGGGGAGTCCGTGCGTGAATGGGCTAGCGGGGGTGTGAGAGAGGGAGAGTGGAGGGGAAGAGCCCCCTGTGTGTACGGGTTTGGGTGTGTGTATGTGTGTGCGCGCGCGTGTGAGAGAGGGAGGGAGAGGGAGAGTGCGGAGGGGGAGTCCCCGTGTGTGTGTCGGGGGAGCCCCGTCCGCGGGCG